GCTTGATAAGCACTTTTTTTTTTTTTTAAATCTTCATACCAACATGTTACATGCAGCAGTGTCGAAGTACAGAAGCAGATGATGCATGATAAAAGCTCCAACACCCTGGAAGTTGGTTGGAGATGGAAAGAGGATAGAGAGAAAAGGAGAGAGAGAGATGAAAGGGAAGGGAAAAGGAAATGGAAATGGATAAGCCCCACAAGCACAACCAAGAGGGAACCCCATCAAGACACCCCATCGAAGCACCCTAACTAAACCCCCCCCCCCCCCCCCCCCCCCCCCCCCCAACGCCCCTCAAACCGGGGCGGACACCAAGTACTGAGCCTCCACCCACAGTGCTCCCCCCATCTCCTCAATGTCCTCCCCCTCCCTGTCCACCAAATCGATATCTGCTCCTCCTATAGACGATGCAGCGCGAAGCAGGATGACCCGAGCCTGCGCACGCTGCAAGGCCACCCCAATCATAGCCTTCAAGGATCCCATGAGATAAGAGGAAAATGACTGATCATCCTCCCGACATGCCCCCCTCGAAACGGCAAGCCCAAAATGTGCGTCCCCCTGCTGTCGCAGCCAACGCCGAAAACGTCCACCTAGACATCCCCACGTCTCAACAATCAGGGGGGTGAACTGCACTCCCCTGTTGCGCGCCAACAGCGGCGCGTAATCCCCAGTCTTCCTGCGCTCCCACTCCCTGGCCGCCACTCCTATGGACCGCCCACACTGCCCAACCAAGGATGGAGACAGTGACAATGGGTCGGCAACGCTGACCTCTAAAGCATGTGCCTCCCCCGCCGTTGGCCGGCGCACCGCGACATCCACCCGCTTCCCTATCAACATCGAATCGTCCTCCAACGACACCACCCCTCCCGACGCCTTAGCGATCCTGGCTACTGCAAACTTCACCTCATCGTGCACCCGGGACGACCCATGCTGGTGCTTGCAGCGCAGTGCATGGTGCGGGTCTGCCGGGTCCGTGTACTCAGTGCCACACACGCAACGGCCCGCGACGTGCAGCTGCTGAATCGGAAGGCCCAGACGCACAGCCGTGGCAATGCCCCACTCAGCGGCTGTGAAGGTCAAATCTGAATGCGCAGGCACCGCCAAGACCCATGCACCAGCCCCCGGGCCCTGAAGGGATGTGAAACGGGCCAGAGTAGCATCATCACGGGCCATACGACGGAGGGCCTGGAGCTCCTCCACGGCTAGTAGCCGCTGTCGTGTGTGGAAAAGTCGAACTGGAGGGGCAGCTACGCAGAGGTGGAGACCCGGCATCTCCTGGCGCACAGCGTCAGGCAGCTGCTCGAGACTCTTGGAGAACCACGGGTCGAGAGAGTCCACCCCCCCCGAAGAGCTGAGATAGTCGGAAAACATTGCCTCCTCTCCCTCTATCCCCAGCTGAGCCACACCTCGCGCTGCCTGCGTCCATCCACATGCATAGGATAGTGGGCTCAACGACGCCGCAGCCCGTACACCGAAACCACCCAGGCGGACTGGGAGGTGCAGCTGCAGACGGGCCAACCTAGACCGACTAGGGTCGTGCTCCCAAGTGCCCGGAGGGAAAAGCTGCTCAAAACAGTCCTCCACCCTGCTATCCCACTCCCTAAACGCCTCCACCACCCCCGGTCGTGGTGGCACCGCCCGAGCAAGATACATAGGTCGCGCAGACACTGCGATGGCCAGAAGGTGCGCGGCCATCTGTGGGTGCTCGAGCAACGGGAGCCACGGAAGGGGCGCCTGCAACTGCTGTAGCCGCTCCCGTAACCGAACAACCTCCCAGTCCTCATCCCCAATGGGAACGCCCACCACCGTCAAACCCTCCTCCATCCGCTGCATACCCGGTGGCAGCCGCTCCTCTAGACCTGCTCCCCCCCGCTCCCAAAACCGACACTTATGGGCCTGTACCTGCAATCCCACTGACTCCAACCGCTCCCGCAACACGCCAAACGCCTCCAAGATCCGAGCCCCAGGGCCCAAAATGTAGGTATCATCGGCATAGCTCAAGAACAAGACGTCGGCGAAATCCTTGATGACCGGCTCCATGACCTGCTGCTGCGCGAATGCGAAAAGGAAGGGGCCCAACGGGTCCCCCTGTCTCGACCCCCGTGCAGAGACCAGTGTCTCCACAAAAGGGCCTGCCCTCAGGTAGAGGTCGCTGGGCGACCCATAGAAGACACGCAGGAACGGGATGAGACCTGAAAAAGGCGAGTCTCTCAAGCCCTCGAACATCGCCCGCCGATGGAAAGAGTTAAAAGCGTTTGCGACATCTATCTGCAGCGCACACCAGTCAGGGTGGGTCGCCAGGGACGAGCGAAAAGCGTGGGTGAGTATCTCAACTCCCGCCCTGGTCCCCGCCCCCAGCTGGTTGCATGGTAGGAAGTGTGAGGCCATGGCTGGGCGAAGTGTGATGCAGAGTGCCCGTGCAAGAATGCGTGGCAACACCTCTCCGATAGCGACCGGTCTCACGTCGCCGTTGGGTTTGGAGAGCCCAACCAAGTTTGACGCCGCAAGCCAGGGACGAACACGCTCAGGGACCTGCCCCGCCACCCACTGATTGAACACCTCCAGGAGATGGGCGAGGTAGGAGGGTTCGGTGAGGAAAGTGTCGCGCAGATGCTCCGTGACCCAACCCGACGGACCCGCTGCCGACGCACGAGCGGCTGTGTGAATGGCTCTGGCTAAAGTGTCACAGGTGAGTGTTGGCCGACGAGCATCGTCGGCAGCGAAATCGCCAACCCACTCCGGTACCTCTTCGACACTCGCGGGGTGCTTCCCTCGCCGTATTTTTGTCAGGGAGTATGCCCTGACCTCACCGAACATTTTGCTCTGTATACATCTTAGAGTACGGTGGGTTAAAATCCCGTTTCCCGTTGACAATCTCGCTAACTCAGGCACCCACTGATGAGTCGTTACTGCTCGCGACTGCACAAGGAACACGAACCCAGTTTAGATCCGTTCAGAACAATGGAATGAATCTTACCAATCGCAGCTGAAAAGATTGCCTTTACCCAGATAATAGGGTAGTTATCCGAAACAAGCATACGACCCACATTGTATGTCATCCCTGACAATTGTAAAGTTCGAATATTCGCGCGCAAACCCTGTCAGGCAATCTCGACAAATCTCGGCAGTCGGATTACAATATCCGAGGGTTGATACTTGTCATTCCTCTGCGTTTTGTTGAGCGATTGTGACATTATGCTTTAGGAGTTGTCTAGTTCATAAAATGTCCTTATGGTACGTATTCTTTGTAGATCCAAAAATTTAGAGACATTTTTTTGAAAGAATTATTTGAGAGCATGGATGCGGGTCTCTAAAATTAGAAAACAGCCATGCTTTGCATGTCTCTGTGCAACCTGCGCATTGTGAAATGCGACTGCTACACTGGTAGAGTTTTCCAGAGATTGCCTGACAAAGTTTGCGACTGTTCAATCGAAAACCAGAGGTAAGGTTGTTGAAATTCCTAGTTTCTACTACCAAATGCACCACTGGCAGGCGGTTTTCCAATCAACAGCAGCCCTCAACAAGCAAGGTGGTATGGTCACCCAGCCACCTCACAGGAATGACTCAAGTATAAGATGAGACTTAGTTCTCTGCAGGATGATGTCGGGTAAAGGACCAATTACGGTAATATGTTATTATGTACTGCTGCCTTTAGGCATGTTGTTGAATCTAGCCAGTACAGATGCATCTTGCTCACTGTCTCACACCCTCTCTCACCCCACAGCCTTATACCACTCTTGCATTAACCACCGCACCGCAGCCTTGTTCCCAGCCGGTACACATGCCGTGCTTGCATTCTTGACGGTGCAGTGCGGTGCTGGTTCGTGGGGCTACTACTAGTACCCAGTGAGGGATGTGACGAATTCGAATCGAGCTTTGCCAGATGGATCAAGTTAGTCTTCAAGGCACCGGAACTAAATGGGTCAGGCTTTGGGACATCGTAAAACTGGAGGCATCGGGCATCAGGCGGGCACCAGGTAGTGCCGCAGCACCTTCTCCAGCACTGCTTTGCGGCGCCTTACAATTCGGGTGTGATGAGACCATTGCTCAGGAGTCACAGATCGCATCAAGCGGGCACAAGGAAGGAATCAGGCGGGCACAAGGTAGTGCCGCAGCACCTTCTCAAGCGCTGCTTTGCTCACTGGCTTCGACATGTAGTCTGGTGGGAGGACCAGGAGGCAGGGGAGAGAAAAGGGGGGATAAAAGGGGGGAGAAGGGGGAGAAAGAGGGGTAGAGGGTTGGGGAAAGGAGGAAAAAGGGGGAGATAAGTGAGGATTTTTTTGTGCCTTAGAAATTGCCGCTTTGCTCGCTGGGGTTCGATATGTAGTCTGGTGGGAGAAGGGAGGAGGGGGCAGACAGCAAAACAATGGGGAAGTTGATAAGTGGGTGGAGGACGCGGGGAGAGGCAGTGAGAGGAAGGAAGGGTGGTAAACTGAATGCATGCTCATGGCACGAACATAGCCATAGGTTATCCTCCTCCTACATCGCCTCAGGCCATTGCTAACACAGTGAAGTCGCCAGTAGGCTCACACACCTGTCAGGCCAGCAGCCAGACACTGCTCCCAGTCGCGCCTTGACGTGCCTGAAACGCCACCCAGACACCTGTTCCTAACACTGGCTGCATGCTCTTGCGACAGATGCTTCCCTTCCTCACCTGTCATGCCGGCTGCCAAACATTGCTCCCGATCGCCTTTCAGTGCGTTGGCCGTCTGCAAACACGCAAGGGGTTGTCACACAAGGCATGGAAGACCATGAGAGGGGAGCATTAGAAGCCGTGTAAGCAGCTGCGCAAGCAGTCAGCGCACTCACGAGGGCCAGAATGGTTACTGCCGGGAATGCTGCCCTCCCAATGCTTTCAAGAGGTCTTACGGATATAGTTCTGCGAGCAGCAGCCTTGAAGCTACGCGTAGCAATACAGTAGTAAAACAGCGGAGAGGCAAACACCGGTGCAAGCAGCGGTGAAAGAGAGCAGAGAGGCAGGCAAGCACTCAGTAACTCACAAGGGCCACAATTGTGACTGGTGGTTGCCCCCTCGCCGCCTCCAGCTCTCGGATCTTGCTGCTGGCCGTCCACCCGTCCATCTCGGGCATCTGGGGGCGGCATGGGAGTAGGGGGTAGGGGAACCGAGGGAACAAGGGTTGGGGGACAGACAGAGGACGCTGATTCTTTGCCGCCTCCAGCTCTCGGATCTTGCTGCTGGCCGTCCACCCGTCCATCTCCGGCATCTGGGAACAGAGGAGCAGGGGGGAACAGGGGTCGAACAGGGGACGAGATTGATAAATGGAGACTGAGGACGCTGATATGGTTGGGTGACGTTTGACTCAACTCCAGCTCCGGACGTCAATCCTGCTGCTGGCCGTCCACCCATCCATCTCCGGCATCTGGGAGGGCAAGGATCGAAGTAGAAAAGGCCAATGTTGATTAATAAGGGAGGGTGGTCAAGGACGCTGGCATGCTTGGTAGACTCCCAACTGGCTTTTTGCTTGGGTGCAACAGGGTTCCCCTGCCGTGGTGTGGAGATATGGGAAGCATTAGGCATGGGAAGCATGAAGCATGGGAAGCATGGGGCAGGCAGCCCCTGGGAGAAGTGACGCACGAGCAGCGGGGTGTTACAAGGGGATGAACGAATCATCAAGGGCACACGAGGGTGAGAGGAATGAGGGAGACGAAAGGGAGGAATGAGGAATGGTGTAGAAGTGATAAGAAGGCGAGTGGGATAAGAAATAGATCAGAGTGCATGGCGTAAGAAAAGAAGAGGACTAGTGGGATACGGTTGCTGACCTGGCAATCCATGAGGATAGGAGAGGTTGCTGACCTGGCAGTCCATGAGGATAGGGTTGCTGACCTGGCAGTCCATGAGGATAGGGTTGCTGACCTGGCAGTCCATGAGGATAAGGTTGCTGACCTGGCAGTCCATGAGGATAAGGTTGTAGTGGTTCTTCTCGGAGAGGTTAACTGCCTCGAGCCCATTGTTGGCGAGGTCCACACTCACGCCCAGCATCGCCAGCATCGATTTCGCCACCTTCTGGTTGATCTGTGGGGTGGGACGAGATGAGATGGGACAAGGGTGGAGTGGACAGGGTCCAGTTTCAAGAAGAGCAGATGATCCAGGCTGCAGATTGCGATGAGATGGGCCATTGTTAGCGAGGTCCACACTCACGCCCAGCATCGCCAGCATTGATTTCGCCACCTTCTGGTTGACCTGTGGGGTGTGAAGACAGGTGATGGTCTCAGGATTACAGAAGGTGAATAACAGAACAGCATGTGGGCTTCGCTACTCACACACCCAGCGTCGCCAGCGTAGACAAGGATAGGGCACAAGGGGCACTCTTAAGAACAGAGTTGACCACCATTGACCAGCATTGACCAGCATTGACCAGCACTGACCAGCATTGACCAGCATTGACCACCATTGACCAGCACTGACCAGCATTGACCAGCATCGACTCACCACATTATCTTCGGCGCTATGCATCCCTCCTCCACCCTCCCCTTACCCCACCCCATCCCAGCTCGCATTTCCCTTTTTGAGCGACGATTCAGAACATGACTCACCACATTGACCAACACCAACTGGCATTGACCAGCGTTGACCACCGTTGACTCACCGCATTGTCCTCTGCCAACAAAATCCGGCCGCTAAGCTTCGGTCCGCCTGGGCTTGCCCCCTCCCTTCCTGCCTCCCTTCCTGCCCCCACACCCCATCACTTGCCCGTCCTGCCCCCCCCCACACTGCAGCAGGCTTCCAAGTCAACTCAAGAACACTGACTCACCAGCATTGACCAGCATTGACCAGCGTTGACCACCATTGACTCACCGCATTGTCTTCTGCCAACAATATCCGTCCGCTAAGCTTCGGTCCGCTGGGTTTGCCCCCTCCTGCCCGCGTGCCCACACCACTCGCCCGCCCTCCCCTTGCCGCCCCTCCTGCTCCCCCTGACTGCAGCAGACTCTCCCCTCCTGGCGTTGCCCTCAGCGCTGCTTCTAGCGCCTCCATTAGAGCCTTGGGGCGGACCTGGGGGGGTGGGTGCGAATGGGTAGATGGGGAATCGAGGTTACAGGGAAGGAGCGGGTGCAGGGATGCAGCAGACTCTCCCCTCCTGGTGTTGCCCTCAGTGCCGCTTCGAGCACTTCCATCAGCGCCTTGGGGAGAACCTGGGGGGGTGGTGGGGGAGAGGGAGGGGCAGGTAGAAAGCGGGTGAATGGGAAGTGGGGTTACCGGGAAGGAGTGGGTGCAGGGCATGGAGCAGACTCTCCCCCCCTGGGGTCGCCCTGAGTGCCGCTTCTAGAGCTTCCATCAGAGCCTTGGGGCGAACCTGTGAGGGGGGGGAGAGGGGGGGGAGAGGGGTGGGAGAGGGGTGGGAGAGGGGAGTGGTGAGGGGGAGAGTGGGGAGATGGGGGTCTGTCTGGACTGGAACACACATCACAGGATGCAGCAGACTCTCCCCCCCTGGCGTCGCCCTCAGAGCTGCTTCTAGAGCTTCCATCAGATCAGAGCCTCGGGCGAACCTGTGGTGAGTGGGGGGATAAGAAGCGAAATCGGGATTATGGGGAAGGAGTGGATACAGGGATGCAGCAGACTTTCCCCTCCTGGGGTTGCCCTCACCGCCGCTTCTAGTGCCTCCATCAGAGCCTTGGGGCGGACCTATAGTTGTCAGGGGTGAGACGGAGGGGAATTGGAATTGGGATTACGGGGAAGAAGGCCCGCAGCGCAGCAAGCTTTCCCCTCCTGAGGTTGCCCTCAGCGCCGCTTCTAGTGCCTCCATTAGTGCCTTGGGGCGGGCCTATAGTGGTCAGGGGTGAGACGGCGGGGAATAGGAATTGGGATTACGGGGAAGGAAGCTTGCAGCAGGCTTCCCTTGGGTTGCCCTCAGCGCTGCTTCTAGCTTCTAGCCAACACCACCTTATAGCATACCATAGCACTGCTTCTAGCTAGCTTCTAGAGCCTCCGTTATGGGGCGGACCTGGGGTAGAAGGGGTGGTGGATTGTGGGGGAGAATAAGGAGGGTGTCGAGGGGGAAAAGGGAGAGTGAGGAGGAGGAGAGTAGAGAAGTAGCTAAAAATCTCCTCTCTCCTCCCCACCCCACCCCACCCCACCATATCACACAACCCCACCCCACCCAACGCCACCTACCATAGCACCCAGCCTACCATTGGCTTGTTGAGCAGGAGAGGCGGCGAGAGGTCGTGCCAGTGCCTGACGGCTCCGAGCTCCAGGCAAACATCTCTCCATCCCACCGCACCCCACCCCACCCCACCCCACCCGTCCCCACCCCACCCCACCGTACCATGGGTTTGTTGAGCAGGAGAGGCGGCAAGCGGTCGTGCCAGTGCCTCACGGCTCTGAGCTCTGCCTCTGTCTTCTCTGTCACCTGCGTGCGGTTCAGCAGCAGCACCACGCCCACCCTATCCCTGCCCAGACACTCCAACACCTCCTGCAGTGGTTTGAAACGTTAAAGTAGAAAGGGGGAAGGCATGGGGGAGTGGGGGGGGTTGAGTGCTGCAGCATGTACCGCCCTCAACTGCGGTTCAGCAGCAGCACCACGCCCACCCTGTCCCTGCCTAAGCATTCCAGCACCTCCTGTCGGGGGGTGAATCATCATCACGAGGAGGGGAGGAGGAAGGCAAGGGGGAGGAGGAAGTCAAGGGGGAGGAGGAAGTCAAGGGGGAGGAGGAAGTCAAGGGGGAGTCGGCCAGGTTGAGTGCTGCATGGCATGCAGCTACGCATCAGTTCCTCCCTGTCACCTGCGTGCAGCTCAGCAGCAGCACCACGCCCACCCTGTCCCTGCCCAGACACTCCAGCACCTCCTGCAGTGGGTTGAAACGTTAAAGTAGAAAGGGGGGAGGAAGGCATGGGGGAGTGGGGGGGGCTGAGTGCTGCAGCATGTACCGCCCTGCCCTCAACTGCGGTTCAGCAGCAGCACCACGCCCACCCTGTCCCTGCCCAGACACTCTAGCACCTCCTGTGGGGTTGAAACGTTGGACCATGCAAGAGGGGAGCAAGGGGCAGAGGAGTGGAGTATAGGGTGGGAAAGGATAGGAGAGTGGGTCATTATCAGCTAAAGTGGAGCGTTGACTGAGGTCAACCATCACAGCGTCATAGTCAAGTCAGTCCTCAGCCACACCCTCCACCTCTCTCCCATTCCTTCACCGCACGACAGGATGTTCCACTAGCACCCACGCCACGTGTGATGTGATGAGTCGATTTTTTAGTCGACTCAAAAATCGAACCACCTCCCTCCCATCCCATTCCTTCACCGCACGGCAAGATGTTCCACTAGCACCCATGCCACGCCACCAACAAGCAACTCACAACAGCATCACTCACAATGGCATTAGCATAAGCCAGAGTGGGGAGTTGACTCAGGTCAACCATCACAGCATCATAATCAGTCAGTCAGTCCTCAGCCACGCCCTCCCTTCCACTCCCATCCCTCCTCCTCACGACAACACTTGCATTACCACCACCAACACCATCACTCAAAATCACATTGGCATCAGGGCGTTGACTCACAATCACGTTTGCATCAGCCAGGGTGGGGCGTTGACTGAGGTCAACCATCACAGCATCATAGTCCTCCGCCACGCCCTCCCTCTCGCTGCCATCCCTCCACCGCACGGGCGGCGCCAACCGGGCGGCAGGGGCGGGCGGCAGAGTGCCAGCTGGCAGGCGCTGCAGAATGGCCTCCTCGGGCGTGGCGATGAGCAGCGAGTGCGGCACGTGCCAGGCTGTCAGTTGCTTCGATAGGGCTGACGCTGTGACCTGGAGAGAGCGGGAGAGGGGGAGGTGAGAGGGAGAGGAGGGAACGGGTGCGAGAGGAGGGCGGGGCGTGGGTTGAAAAATGAGCAGGGGCCATCAAGTTTCAACCCTCAGCAGCTTTTTGTGCTTGCCTGCACTGCACAGGCCGGAGCACCAGAACACGAGCCATGATTCGGCAGAGTGCCAGCTGGCAGGCGCTGCAGAATGGCTTCTTCTGGCGTGGCGATGAGGAGGGAGTGCGGGACGTGCCAGGCTGTCAGCTGCTTTGATAGGGCTGATGCTGTGACCCGGAGAGGGGGGAGGGAGAGGGGGGGGGAAGGGGGAGGGGGTGACGGGGGTTGCGTCACATGGTGGGCAGGCAGAGCATCTAGTGAGCAGGGCGTGCGTGCGTGTGTCAGCTGCTTTGATATGGCTGACGCTGTCACCAGCAGTGCAGAGAGCGGGTGAGGAGAGGAGGGGGAGGGGAGGGGGAGAGGAGGGAACGGGGGGTGGGTGGGAGGGAGGAGGAGGGGGTGAATGAAGCAGGGCCTTCAACCCTCAGCAGCTTTTCATGCTTGCAGTGAGTGGCCAGCGATATTATGCTCTTCTCACACCTGCACGCATTCCTATGAACCGCTCTGCACCTCTCTGCTCTCACCTGCACCGCTGTCAACATCCCTCAGCACCGTTCTGCATCACTACCAAATAGTAGTCTCAGATTAAGAAACTCATTCGCCACACTCCCGATAGCCAACGAGATGCTTTAACTCACCTGCACCGCTCTAAAACCCTCTGCACCCTACTGCACACCACAATCTTTGCTCACCTGGATTGGTGAGATAACCAGCACCTGGATTGGTGCTCACATCTGCCACACTCCCGGTTCCCAGTCACCTGCACCGCTCTAAAACCTTCTACACCGTAGAGCACACATCTTTATGTGCTTACCTGTATCGGCGAGATAACCAGGAGTCTCAGATTCAGCAACTCATCCGCCACACTCCCGATAGCCAATGGGATGCTCTGAATTCATCTGCACCCCTCTACATCCCTCTACACCATACTCCACACATCTCTCCCTGTGCTCACCTGTATAGGCGAGATAACCAGGAGTCTCAGATTCAGCAACTCATCCGCCACACACCCGATAGCCAATGGGATGCTGCCACCTGACAGCGGCCCCCTCCTCCCCTCCCCCCTCCCCCCTTCCCCTCCCCCCGCTCCCCCCGTTCCCCCCCCAGTGGAGGACGAGGTGGGGAGGGAGAGCGGGATTGCTGACTCAGACACGACGAGGCTGTTGCTGCTGCACTGGTTGGCCAGCGATGACGTGGACAGGGAGAGTGCTGACGTGTACGCAGGGTGGTGGGCGTTGATTGGCAGGTGCACGGTGAACGTGGTGCCCACGTGGAACTCACTCTCGACCGATATGCTGCCTCCCATCAGCTCTACTAGCTGGAGAAGGACCGGGGAAGCGGAAGGGGAAGAAGGGGGACGGAAGAATGGGAAAAGTGAAGGGGGAGAAGGGAGAGACGGTGAGTTGATGCAGGTGCACGGTGAACGTGGTGCCCACGTGGAACTCACTCTCGACCGATATGCTGCCTCCCATCAGCTCCACCAGCTGTAAAAGTGGCAGGGAAAGGTAAAACAGAAAGGAGAACGGGGCAGTGGGAGATGGGAGAGCAGATGAGAGAGAGTGAGTAAACGGGGTGCACGGTGAAAGTGGTGGCCACATGGAACTCAAACTCACTCTCCACTGAAATGCTCCCTCCCATCAGCTCCACCAGTTGTGGAAGAGTTTCAGGGTTTAGGGAAAGTAGGGGGGGAAGATAGGAGAGCAGTGGAGAGGGTGAGTACACGGGGTGCACGATGAAAGTGGTGCCCACGTGGAACTCACTCTCCACTGATATGTTCCCCCCCATCAGCTCCACCAGCTGGAGTGGTGAGAAGAGGAAAGAGAAAGAGGGGGCGAGATGGGAGAGCAGGGGTAGTAGTGAACAAGGATGAGGGGAGACGAGACAGCACGGCTGCACGGTTGATGTGGGCCCAAGACGAGGGCCGATGTTGAAACCACTCTTCGGAATTCTCATGATGAGACTTCGTTAGCACCACAAGAGGTGATAAATCTATTCACCCACCCAGGCCAGCTCAGCACGTGGCAGGCAGGCAGCCGTCCCCTTACATACTCTCACCATATGCATTGACTTTCGAGTCGACTCAAAAGACTTTTGAGTCGACTCAAAAGTCACCTCGTTGAGTCGACTCAAAAGTCAGCTCAACATGTGGCAGGCAGGCAGCCGTCCCCTAACATACTCTCACCATATGCATTGCGGCCACCCATCCATATGAGGGTACCGAACCGAGTAGGTACTCGAACGTGTTGGAGTTGCTTTAGAGAATTCTCAAGAGCAGGCGAGGGGCACGCACCTGCTTTGAGATGGCGAGGCCCAGCCCCGTGCCTCCGAACTTGCGTGTGGTGGATGCATCCACCTGATGGGTCAGAGCAGATAGGGGGCGAGGAAGATTGGAGAGAAGGGAGGGGGGTTTTCGAGGTGCCACATGATTCGTCCCACTGCACGCGGTTTTGAGATGGCAAGGCCCAGCCCCGTGCCTCCGAACTTGCGTGTGGTGGATGCGTCCACCTGATGGGGTGAGCGTGCTGAGGAAGTGAGGGATGGGAGGGAGGGAGGAGAGAGGGAGGAGAGAGGGAGGAAAGTGAGTGAGCGAATGAGAGAGTGAGTGCGTGAGTGAGTGAGTGAGTGAGTGAGGGAGGGAGGGAGGGAGGGAGGGAGGGAGGGAGGGAGGGAGGGAGGGAGGGAGGGAGGGAGGGAGGGGGGGAGGGAGGGAGGGAGGGACGGAGGGAGGGAGGGAGGGAGGGAGGGAGGGAGGGAGGGAGGGAGGGAGGGAGGGAGGGAGGGAGGGAGGGAGGGAGGGAGGGGGAGGGAGGAGGGAGGGAGGGAGGGAGGGAGGGAGGGAGGGAGGGAGGGAGGGAGGGAGGGAGGGAGGGAGGGAGGGAGGGAGGGAGGGAGGGAGGGAGGGAGGGAGGGAGGGAGGGAGGGAGGGAGGGAGGGAGGGAAGGAGGGAGGGAGGGAGGGAGGGAGGGAGGGAGGGAGGGAGGGACGGAAGGAGGGAGGGAGGGGGGAGGGAGGGAGTGAGTGAGTGAAGGGGGGAGGAGCATGTTCCATGCTGAAGCCAATTAAAAGCAGCATGGCAAGACAGCGTTCCATGCCGAGCCCCTGAACCTGTGCTTTGGCCTGCCTCAAAAGGCAATCCGATCTCAAACCTCCCACACCCGCAGGGCGAATCAAATAACTACCATACCAGACAAACAGATACACTTTGCGAGGCCTCCTTCAGCATTCGCCAGCAGTGCAGAGTCAACCCTGCTCCGTTCCTTACAGCGCTTACCTGAGAGAACTTAGTAAAGAGCCGGCCGAGCCGCTCCATGGGAATGCCGATGCCAGTGTCAATGACCTGGCACACCCAGAACTGCTGCGGTACCAATGGGCCGCTGTTGGGTGCAGAGGTGTTGGTGGTGGTGGAATTGGTGGTGGTGAGGGTGGTGGTGGTGGAAGAGGAGGAGGAGGCGGGGAGGGCGGGGTGAGACGGGGAGGAGGGGAGGGCGGGGGCGGTGTGGGAGGAGAGGCGGAAGATGACGTGTCCACGTTCGGTGAACTTGATGGCGTTGGATACGAGGTTGATGAGCACCTGGTGGAGAAAGCGGAAGGGGCATGGGAAGGAAAGGGGGGAGTGGGATATGACGTGTCCACGTTCGGTTGATGAGCACCTGATGATAAAGCCAGCGAGGGGGATGAGTGGGAACGGAAGGGGGGTGGGTGGGTGGGTGGGGTGGGTATAGCAGGAGTGGGTTGACCGCCTGCAGCTTAGAAGAGTGTCTGCTCGATCTCCAGATTGCCCAACAGCGTGCGTGTGCTCTATGCTCATGCATGCATGCAATGCAACCAACCAACCAACCAACCAACCAACCATCCAACCAACCAACGAGACGCACCTGCAGCGTGCGTCCTGAATCCCCAACGAGGAAGGTAGGAGTGTCCGGGCCGATCTTGATCACCACCTCCAGCCCCTTGCTCTCCGCATTATGAATCAGCAGCTCCGCCACCCGCTCCACGGCCTGCAGCGCGTTGAAGAGCGTCTGCTCGATCTCCAGCTCCCCTACCCTGCCACGCCCTCCCTTACCCAATTCCCGATACCCCCTTCCCAACCCCCTACGCACCTGCAACGTTCGTCCTGAGTCCCCAACCAGGAACGTGGGAGTATCCGGGCCGATCTCGATCACCACCTCGAGCCCCTTGCTCTCCGCGTTATGGATGAGCAGCTCCGCCACTCGCTCCACGGCCTGCAGTGCGTTGAAGAGCGTCTGCTCTGCTCTGCTGCATGCAACCAACCACCCAGCCCCCCTCTCTAGCCTGCTACACCCTTCCCTCGCTTCCCGTTTCTCCCTTCCCAGCCCCCCATGCCTCTCCTCTCCCCACTACGCACCTGCAGCGTTCTCCCGGAATCTCCAACGAGGAAGGTAGGCGTATCCGGGCCGATCTCAATGACCACCTCGAGCCCCTTGCTCTCCGCGTTGTGAATGAGCAGCTCCGCCACGCGCTCCACGGCCTGCAGGGCATTGAAGAGCGTCTGCTCGATCTCCAGCTTGCCGGATTCGATCTTGGAGTAGTCAAGGATGTCGTTGATGATCTGCAGCAGCATGTCGCCCGAGTCGCGGATTGTGACTACTCGGTCGCGCTGCTCGGGAGTCAAGTCCGTGTCCAGGAGCAGTGCCGTCATGCCCACCACGCCGTTCATGGGGGTGCGTATCTCGTGGCTCATGGTGGCCAGGAAATCTGGAGGTGGGAGAGGAAGGGAAGGGGAAACGGAGAGTGAAAACGGGAGTGAACAGCTTGGTCGGTCTTGGAGTAGTCGAGGATGTCGTTGATGATCTGCACTAGCATGTTGCCCGAGTCTCTAACAGTCACTACTCGGTCGCGCTGCTCCGGTTGGAGCTCATTGATCTTGGAGTAGTCGAGAATCTCGTTCATGATCTGCTCTGCAGTAGCATGTCTTCCTCTCCTCTCCGTGATGCCCCTCTGTGTGCCCACAAACCCATGCGCCCATGGGTAAATGTCTATGTGTGTGCATGTGCTCGCACCAGGCCTCCACACACCTCGTCCTTAGCCTGCACTGCACCATGCCCTGCCCTGTTCCAATCCAACAGCTTCCGCCCCGTGATGTCCGTATGCGTGCCCAAGAACCCACACGTATGAAGAAGTGTTTTGAGACGTCTCAAAAACTCCCCGTGATGTCCGTGTGCGTGCCCAAGAACCCACAAACCCATGTGCCCATGGGTAAATGTTTATGTGTGTGTGTGCATGTGCCTTAGCCTGCACTGCACCATGCCCTGTTCCAATCCAACAGCTTCCTCCCCATGATGTCCGTGTGCGTGCCCAAGAACCCACAAACCCATGGGTAGTCTAGACGTGCAAGCCCCAACCCCCCTTTCACACACCTGCTTTGGCCTGTGACGCCCGTTCAGCCTCGTCCTTAGCCTGCACCATGCCCTGCTCGAACATCTTCCTCTCTGTGATGTCCGTGTGTGTGCCCACAAACCCGTGTGCCCAGGTGTGCATGTGCATGTGTGTGCATGTGTGTGCATGTACCCTCAACACCCTGCACCCACCTGCTTTGGCCTGTGACGCCCGTTCAGCCTCGTCCTTAGCCTGCACCATGCCCTGCTCGAACATCTTCCTCTCTGTGATGTCCGTGTGTGTGCCCACAAACCGCAGCGGCTCCCCGTCCTCCGTCTTGCTCAGCACCTTGCCGCGGTGCAGAAACCAACTGGAAAGAAGAGGGAGGGGGGAGGGGGGATATGGGGATGAGGAGGTATAAGGTTGACTCGAACAAACCGCAGCGGCTCCCCATCCTCCGTCTTGCTCAGCACCTTGCCGCGGTGTAAGAACCAACTGGTGGGGTTGTTAAAACAAGCAGGCAGGCAAGCAGACAGGTGGGGAGGCACGTTGAGCAGCAGCACACTCTTAAGTCTCCCCGTCCTCCGTCTTGCTCAGCACCTTGCCACGGTGCAGGAACCAACTGGGCGGAGGGAGGGACGAAAGAGGCAAAACACAAAGGGACATTCTGCTTCTGTTGAGAATCCTCATAAGAGCACTGGGCGGGTGACAAGCGCTCTGAGACGTACTATGGTGCGCTAGCTAGGCCTGCATCCACTGCTCAGCTTCACGGTTGCATCTGAGCCGTTCATACGCCTCCCATCTGACGTCTGGCTCCCTTCCTTGCATCTAAGCCGTCCATACGCCCACCACCTCACCTGTAGCTGCCGTCCCTTCCATCTGAACCGTTCAGACGCGGCCCATCTCACCTGTAGCTGCCGTCCTTGCATCTGAGCCGTTGCTCGTTCACAAACTGCGCAGTAACGCCGTCCAGATGCTCCTTAAGGTCTGCATACGCGCGGTCCTTATCCTCTGGGTGCAGCAGCCGATCCCACTCGTCCAGCGTTGACCCTATGTCGCCAGGCTCGTAGCTGTGGAAGGGAGGGAGTGGGGAAGATTGGGGGTTGGTACAGACAAAAGAATAGGGTTATCAGGTGCTCCTTAAGGTCTGCATACGCGCGGTCCTTATCCTCTGGGTGCAGCAGCCGATCCCACTCGTCCAGCGTTGACCCTATGTCGCCAGGCTCGTAGCTGTGGAAGGGAGGGAGTGGGGAAGATTGGGGGTTGGTACAGACAAAGGAATAGGGTTATCAGGTGCTCCTTAAGGTCTGCATACGCGCGGTCCTTATCCTCTGGGTGCAGCAGCCGATCCCACTCGTCCAGCGTTGACCCTATGTCGCCAGGCTCGTAGCTGTGGAAGGGAGGGAGTGGGGAAGATTGGGGGTTGGTACAGACAAAAGAATAGGGTTATCAGGTGCTCCTTAAGGTCTGCATACGCGCGGTCCTTATCCTCTGGGTGCAACAGCCGTTCCCACTCGTCCAGCGTGGAGCCTATGTCACCAGGCTCATATCTGCGGGAGGGAGGGAGAGCGAGCAGGGGGGTTGTAACACTGTCCGCATAAGCGCGTTCCGTGTCCGCTGCGTGCAATAGACGGTGGGGGCCGCAGGTCCGCACGTCACCAGGCTCATCTGGGGGCGAGGGGGGAGGGCGGGGGTGGTGCGTCCGGAGAAGAGGGCTATCTGATCTGATGCCCTTGAGGCCTGCATACGCGCAGTCCTTGTCCTCTGGGTGTGGGGAAGGGAGCCGAGTTGGTACTTAGCGGGTTCGATCGATGGCAGCCAGCAAGGCACTCTAGGACAAACGCTAGGAGTGCCGACTCCTTCCTCCCACACTCTTCCCCGCACTCTTCTCCACATTCTCGATTGAACGCCCCTCTACCCTATGCTGTGCTCAAGAGCGTGCCGCACTCACCCCAGCATCTGCTTCCAGCGGTCGGAGAAGAACATGGCGTTGTCTCGCACGTTCCAGTTCCACACCACACTCTTGCCAGGCTCTGACATTCTCACTTGAACCCCGCACTCTAGCCTAGCCCACACCCATCCGTGTGCCCATCCATTTGCCCTGCCCATGCACGCCCTGCACTCACCCCAGCATCTGCTTCCATCGGTCGCTGAAGAACATGGTGTTGTCTCGCACGTTCCAGTCCCACACTCCATCGTCGCTGCCTGACAGCGCATACAGCCACCGCTCCTCACTCTCCTGCTCGCATGCACGGTGCGGGCAAAGCGAGTGGGGCACGTGAGATTGGTGAGTGGCACGCATGGTGAGGAGATGCGGATCTGAAAAGTCCAGTCCAACATGTGGTCTTCGCTGCCTGACAGCACACGTAGCCACCGCTCCTCGCTCTCCTGCTAGCAGAAATGGTGTGTGCGAGATTGGGGTACATGTGAAAGTGGTGTGTGTGTGGAACAAGGAGTGGTGAGAGGCGATGCAAATCGCAGAGGTCCGGTCCCCCCCTACTCAATACACAGTCAACCCAAGGGACCCACCTTGAGCTTCTTTACAATAACCAGCCATTCCAATATGTTCCTCCTGAGCACGGTGACATGGAAGACAGTGTCACGCATGTCTTGGGATTCCTTCTTCAGAAACGAACTACCCAAAACACAGTCAGCCCAGCCCACTCGCCTTGAGCTTCTTCTCAGCGTCCAGCCTCTCGGAGATGTCTCGCAGCACAGCCACATAGAACACCGTGCTGTCAAAGGTAAACAGGTGGGCTGCGGAGGTCTTGTTTACCTTTGACACCACATAGAACACCGTGTCGTACGTGCCCTTGGAGACAGACACTTCCAAACCAAAGTTACCCAAAGCACAGTCAACCCAGGCAAGAAAGGGACCCACCTTGAGCTTCTTCTCGGCGTCCAGCCACTCCGAGATGTCTCTCAGCACAGCCACATAGAAGACAGTATCATAGGTGCCCTTGGAGACAGACACCTCCAGAGGGAACGTGCTGCCGTCCACCCGCCCACCACCCTCCTACCTCTCAGCATTGTGCTCTCATGCCGCTCACCTTGAGCTTCTTCTCGGCATCCAGTCGTTCAGAGATATCTCGCAGCACGGCCACATAGAAGACAGTGTCATACGTGCCCTTAGAGACCGACACCTCCAGAGGGAACGTGCTGCCGTCCACGCGCCTGCCGATGCCCTTGTGCACCTTGCCACTCGCCGCGTCCAGCCCTGCTTGGTGTGTGGAAGGAAGGAGTGGGGAAGAATTCAGAACTACGAGAAGATTCATCAGCAGCAGCCTAGGGGAGTGGGTGAACGTGCTGCCGTCCACGCGCCTGCCGATGCCCTTGTGCACCTTGCCACTCGCCGCGTCCAGGCCTGGGGAAGGTATGGAAGGAGAGGGGCGAAAACATAATAAGGAGGGACATTTTGAGTCGAATCAGACCTGGGTGCGTGTTAGAAGGGGAGCGAGCGAGCGAACACGAAAGACAGAATGAAGACAAGCTCTTTTCTCCTTCCCCCCTCTCGCGTTCCCCATCCCCCCTCCCTCCCATCCCCCATCTCACCTCGTGCCAAAAGTCTCTCTGGCCGTTAATCTCCACCATTAGATCCTGGAACTGCAGATTGGCTAGGCCAGTAAAATCGGTCCAACCCCTCATCTCACCTCCCCGTCTGCCTTCCACCCATTTCCCCCGTCCCCCTTCGCCCCTCTCCCCATTTTCCCCATCTCACCTCGTGCCAGGAAGTCCCCCTGGCCGTTGATTTCCACCATCAGATCTTGGAACTGCAGGTTGGGGGGCGGCGTGACGTTGCTGCTGTCACGGCTAATAATACTCCCCCCAGCCGCCACAGCACCAGTGCCGTTGGTGCTGCTGCTGCCGTTGGTGTCGGGAGGGGTGGGCGAGTAGCCGAACATCTGCCGTGCCGAGAGGTTCATGGATGTGACATGGCCGCTGTGAGAGAGCGACATGATTCCCTCCTTTGCTACCTGGTGAGAGGGGTCATGCATGGGATGGGGTGAGTGGGGCAACAGGGAGTGAGAGAGAGACAGAGACAGGTTCATGGATGTGACATGACCGACCCGCTGTGGGAGAGCGACATGATGCCCTCCTTTGCCACCTGGTGGGATTGTTTGGAGGGAAGGTGGAGGGTGTAGGACAGGGAGTGACAGGCGGGAGGCACAGGAGCAGAGATACAGGTTCATGGTTCTATCTCTCCCAAACTCTCGCTCTCTGTCTCTCCCTTTCCATCTTCCTCCCTCTCCCCCGTCACTCACCTGCACAGAACTGGACAGATGCAGTTCGGCCTCCTTCCTTCTCTTCCTCTCATTCACCGCATAAATCATCTGGACGATTGTCTTCGTCAGCAACTCAATCCTTCCCTCTCCCTCCCTACCTATCCCGTCTCACCTGCACAGCGCTGGACAGGTGCAGTTCGGCCTCCTTCCCTCTCTTCCGCTCATTCACCGCATAGATCATTTGAGCGATCGTCATCGTCAGCGGCTCAATCTCCCCCTCTCTCTCCCTCCCCTCTCTCTCTCTCCCAATCTCTCCCCCCCTTCCTCACCTGCACGACGCTGGACAAGTGCAGTTCGGCCTCCTTCCTTCTCTTCCTCTCGTTCACAGCATAAATCATCTGAGCAATCGTCATCGTCAGAGGTTCAATCTCCTTCACAAGCTGCTCGTCGTAGCCTTGGAGGCGATTTGCTACCCCGAAAATCCCAATCAGCTCCGTGCCTACACAGAGATTGGGGGGCAGGACGGGGGGAGAGAAAGGGAAGAACAGAGGGAGGGACGCTCAATCTCATTCACCAGCTGCTCGTCGTACCCTTGCAGGCGGTTTGCCACTCCGAATATGCCAATCAGCTCCGTGCCTGCACAGGGGATAGGAGGGAGGAAAAGGTGGGGAGGAGGACGGTGCATGGGGGGAAAGAATGGGAAAAGGGAGATGCTTAATCTTCTTCACCAGCTGCCCTTGAAGGCGATTTGCCACTTCGAAGATTCCAATGAGCTCCCTGCCGCTTTTGGCAATTCTCAAAAGCAAAAAAGCGGTTAAAAGTGGGGGGCAGGACGGGAGAAGAGCAGAACAGTTTCATGCCTGGATGGTGGTTTAGTGGGGGAAGTGGGAGACTTCGACGTGGCAGGCAGGGGAGAAACAACCGGTGGTGATACTCCTTTCCATCCCTTCCATCCCTCCCTTCCATTTCCTCCCTCCTCTCCCCACACACCCTCACCCACCAGTATACAGAGGAATCCCCATGAACTTTTCGATCACAGGGTGCCTGAGAGGTACTCCCCTCGCCCGGGGGTCATTGCGAGCGTCGTTGGAGAGCACCTGCTGCCCCGTCAGCACCCCTTCCTGCCAGCCACCCCTCTTCCCTACCCCTTCAACCCACCAGTATACAGCGGGATGCCCATAAACTTCTCAATAACGGGATGGCCTGGCGGCACTCCTCTGGAGCGCGGATCGTTGCGAGCATCGTTAGAGAGGACTTGCTGGCCCGTGAGCACCACAGCGCCGTGCAGAGTGTTCATGTTGGTGAACACGAGCCCCTTGTGGGCGTTCGCCGCGTACCATGCCCGCAGCTCCTTGGTCCATGCCACGTTCGTCATTGCATGGGTCTGAAAGTGTGTAGGTGAAGGGGGGACGGGGGTGTGAGGAGGGGAGAAGGGAGGGAGCAAGGGAGGAAGCAAGGGATGGAGCAAGGGAGGGAAAAGGGAGGGAGAATTGAGGAAGCGAGCGTGCAAGAGCGAGTCCCTGACAGCACTGCGGCGCTTCACGGCCGGCGTCTCCTGAGTAGATTGAAAGTTCCACGCGATTATGTCTGAAGAGAGCGAGTCCCTGACAGCACTGCAGCGCCGTACCACTGGCCCTAGGTACACAGGCTCTCTCAGGCTCTCTCGCAGGCATATCATCCCGGCCCAGCACAGTGGGTGCTTGAGTAACAGCGGGTGCCATGCGGCATATTACTCCGGCCCAGCATACAGCCCGCTGGACCTTGAGGCTCGGCAGGCGTCAGGCGGACACTCCCCACGCCCCACACTCCACACACACCCAGCCCACCCCAGCACCCTGCACCGCACAGCACCCAGCATGGTCCTGAAAGTTGGGCGTGCCATCGGCCTTGAGCAGCATGGACGAAAGGCAGCACACTCCAGCCCATCGCATCCCATTTTGCCCCACCCCATCCCACCGCACAGCACCCAGGCAGACCTTGAGGTAGGGCGTGCCGTCGGCCTTGAGCAGCGCGGAGGAGATGAAGCCAAAGCTGGACTCGGTCACCTCCAGCAGCGCTGAGAGGAGGTAGTCAAACACAAGACTGCCGTTGGGCTCCTGACAGAGGTTGAAGGGAACGGGAGGGGAGTAGTGAAGGAGAGAGGGGGAGAACAGGAGGGGAAGGGAGGAACAGGAGGGCAGCAGAGGGAATGGGAGGGGACGGGAGGGGGATGAGTCCCAAGGCTGGACTCGGTCACCTCCAGCAACGCTGAGAGGAGGTAGTCAAACACGAGACTGCCGTTTGGCTCCTGTGACTTTTGAGTCGACTCAAAAGTCACCTCCAGCAGCGCTGACAGCAGATAATCAAACACGAGACTGCCGTTTGGCTCCTGTGAGGGAGAGTAGTGGGGAGGGGAGGAGTGGGTTGGGTAGAGGGGGGGAGGGAGAGGGCGAAGGGAGAAGGGGGAAGGCCAGAGGAATCGAGGGGAGGGTATGAGGGGAAAGGGGGATGAGTCACGAAGCTGGACTCGGTCAAACAACAGACTGCCGTTGGGCTCCTGGCATAGGAGGAAAGAAAGGGGGGTTGGGGGAGGGTCAAGGGTGGTAACGGATAACTTGTGAATTTACAAGTGAGAAGCTGGACTCAGTGACCTCCAGCAGCGCTGAGAGCAGATAGTCAAACAAAACACGAGGCTGCCGTTTGAATGATAGCACAACTCCACCAGGACACCGTCACTCGACTCCACCACCCTTGTCAATACAACACAGCAGATTCCTCTGAGCTTACTATAGCCTCCCCACCGCCCCGCACTGCAACCCCCGCCCCACCTAGCAATGAAGCACACATCACCGTCCATCTCACCCCACCTTATCAATGAAGTACACTTGGTGTGCGCGAGCGAGTGATAGCAGCAAGCAGCTTCCTTAGCAGCGCCTCAGACATGCTCATCGTCCGCATCAACGGCCACTGCGGTCCCCCCTTCCCGTGACTCTACACGCCCATACAGCCCTTTACCGCCTTTCACCGCTCTTCACCGCTCTCCACACTTACCTTATCAATGAAGTACACTTGGTGTGCGCGAGTGATAGCAGCCAGCAGCTTCCGCTGCAGCGCCTCAGACATGCTCATTGTCCGCATCAACGGCCGCTGCGGTCCCCCCACCATCCCCCCCGCCCCTCCGCCCATCCCTGCCGCTCCGCCCATCCCCCCCCCCCACTCCCCCCACGCCTCCCCCATCCGCGCCCATCCCCCCTCCCCCTCCTCTCCGCATTTCCCAAGAGGAACTCTCGTGGAAGCTTCTGCTGGCAGGCCCCTCCCCGCTCATGAGGTGGTGGGGTTGGGCGAGGTGTCTGGGGCAAGCATCCGGAGCACCCATTCCCCCTGCTCCGCCCATACCCCCTGCTCCGCCCATTCCTCCGCCCATTCCCCCGCCTCCCCCGCCCATACCGTCCCTCCCCATCCCCCTTACACTGTATTCCGACCCATAATGCGTTGACTGGCTCATTCTCCCCATGCCCGCTCCTTCCCCCCCTCCCATTCCCCCTCCCATTCCCCCGCCCATTCCCCCGCTCATCGCCCCGTGCTGCCGCCCAGGTGAGCCCATATAAGACAACGATCTGCCGCCCGTTCCGGTGCGGAGCATCGGGTGGCTGGGCGACCCGCCTCGGGAACTCCGTCCCCCGGAATGGTCAGATAAAAATTCCATCTGCCCGTCAGGAGACGGTTTAGAATACTCCACAACGCCATAAGGGGGATGCCCCGCCCCCTGACCCCCACCCTGCTGCTGCTGCTGCTGCCACCTGGCAGCTCCGGATTGGGTGGAACTGGGGGAGCCGGGCGCGGAGGAGGTGTGGGAGAGGGTGTGCGCGGGGAGGTGCGGCTGGTGCGCGTGGTGCGGGGGGACGATTCCGCAGCGGTGCAGCAGCGCGAGCGTCTTGGGGTGGTCCGCGCCGTCGTCGCGCAGGTGCCCGCACTTGCGGCACCTGGGGGGATTGGCGAAGGGGGAGGGGGGGGGGGGAGGAGGGGGGAGGGGATGGGGGAATGGAGATGGAGGAAGGGTGATGGGGGAAAGCGGGTTGGAGCATGCCTTTTCGAATTGCACTTGCACATTATTCTCCTGTTTACTATCCTCAAAACCATACGCGCTTAGTCATTCCGCTTCGCGTTCAATGTTCTGATAGATGAATGACTATGGTTTCCCATCAATCCTTCCTCCCGAGTCTTGACCAGCGGCCGCTCACGGAGCTGTTAAGCCGAGCGGCGAAACGCTCGCTCACCCACTGCGATGCGATGCGATGCCATGCGATGCGATGCGATGCCATGCGATGCGATGCGATGCCATGCCATGCCATGCGATGCGATGCGATGCGATGCGATGCGATGCGAACCAGAACGCGTTCACGATTGCCAACGCCAGAGGCGGAAACCTCGACCATCTGAAAAATGTGCTGTTGTCTCGGCCGGCCCTAAGGCCTAGAATAAGCCCGGAATCGTCGCGCGAGCGATGCCTGCCTGACTGGCTCTGACGAGGCGCACAGCAACGCACGACTAGCCGCCTAAACGCCACCTAACACGTTCCAGCGTCTACAAGCTTCCTTTTTTTCTGAACGCTTTCAACCTCGACCTAAGTGTTTAAGGCCCGCTGTCGCTAGCAGTTGCTCTCAGTTGCCCACAAACACGATAAACTACTGTTGTCAACTCCGACCAAACGCGGAATGTGTGATCGTCACGCGAACCTTCGCAGCGCCACGCTACCTACCTGCCACTTGCGCGAGGAGCGCACCAAGGCATGACTAGCGCAAACGCCAACCGAAGCAGGTCCCTTTCCTTTTCGACGTTACCGCCTTAAGGGCCTCTACAGCTCGCACCAACTCCTCTCGTGTCACACTCGGCCTGAAACCACTTTTTCCCTTCACCGTCTTACCGGCCGTGGTTCGTGTTCATGGATTTCTTTCCAATCGCATCGTTTCTCCTCTCACCTCCATCCGGCTTCGATCCACGCCTTCAGCGCGATCCAATCGCTTTCCGTCAAATGCGCCACGATCTCCCATGGCGGAACTTCCAAAGCTGACACCTTGGTTCGGCGCCGCGACTCCGAACCTCCAGAGAAGTCGCGCGGAGGTACACTCGGCGCACCTCCGGCGCTTCCCCCTCCGCCGCTACCCGCGCCAGTCCCTCCGAAAGGGCTTCCGCCTGGTGATTGCTGCGCGCGCGGAGATTGCGCTTGCGCTTGCCCCTGCGCCTGCGCGTGCGCTTTCACCTGCGGCGATTGCGCGAGGCGCTGGTGGTGCTCCGCGCGCTGCTGCTGCAGAACCTGGTTTTGCGCGACGGCGTGCGAAATGTCGGTTCCCGCCGACTGCAGCTCGTGCGGAGTCATTCCGCCCATTCCGCTCGAGCGGCGGCGGAGCTTGACGCCTCCGCGGCCATGATGCGCGGACTGCTGCGCACCCATCGCGGCGGAAGGGTGCGCTTCTTTCACGGACTACGGACAATCTTCGACAATGGAAATCGTAAAATAAGTAAATAAAAAGAGCGGAACCGGAACCAAATTCCAACTCTGAATCGCCTGATAGCAACTGGAATAGTTGGTGAAACTACGGCTGGATCCTTCTTAGGATGACCACGAGACTTATCGTTCACTCAAATGTCACCAGGATCGCACACGATAAGAGGTTGCCGACATTGTCGCGAATCATCTAAGGGTTCCATAGTAAATGTTTCCGGGGGATTAATTAGTGTTCTACACCGAAATCGTCTGTTTATGAGAGGCCTCAAAAACCTAATTGAAGTAGTACAGTCAATACGCGACGCATGGTGGCGAGGTTAATCCATCTCTACTGGAGCTTACTCTGTTGTCTCTGACACATGTGCTAGCTTTCCTCTCTCCGACTCGAGCATGAAAACAAGGTAACGACCACCGTAACTGGCTCTACGAAACCTGCTATTGAAGCAATGTGGTGTTTTAAAATGTCGCAGAAGCGTCACGTTGCAGAAGTGTAACTAGCTCTACGAAACCTGTTGCTACTATTTCGGTTCTTCACTCGAATAGTAGCAACAGGAATGGAGTTGTTGAGAGAGCGTATGGTATGCATCAGGCAGGTGCAGTTTGGCCATCACTTGCGTGATGAACGCTAATCACTGACTGAACTGGATGATCATCACAGGTGAGTGAAGTCCCCAGCCTCAGTTTGATTAGAGTGTAACAGTGTGGTTTAGCGCATTTCAAGACGGTGCTGTATGCTATTGTCTGTCGCTCCGCCGCTCTCGAAGTCCCAATTTCCGAACCAGGTACTTTGGGTTAGGAATAACGATTTGAAAAGCAGCAAGAGGGGAGCAAAACTATTCGTTTGTGTTTCAAGGGGTGCCCATTCCCAGCACCTCTTGAAGACCAGAGCCACTGGTAGAGTTTAGTTTCAGGTATAATGAAGCTTAACCTGTACAGACCCCCGCAGATTGGGAACCGATCACTCCGAACTCTACACCTGTACTAGTGTACTTTCGTTAGTGTGCATGTCAGGGATAACTCGAAACATAACAACATTTTCTCAGAAACACAAGAGCCGAGCCCACCATTTTTCACCGAAATTGGAACGAGTCCCCTTGTTCTCTGTAGCCAGGTTCGTTTTTTTTTTTTTTTTTTTTTTTTTTTTTTTTTTTTTTTTTTTTTTTTTTGGTGGATATAAGTACACTACCAGCATACATACATCCGCAGTCGTAACTGTAGCCAGGTTCGTGCAACTCTGTGGAAAAGCTGTGCTGGCAGAATCCTGATATTTCATTGGTTAACGACTTGTGGGAAATGCTAAACAATGTTGAGGTGGAGATGGAGGTGCGAGGTAACGAGGACCGAACAGCCCAATCCCATGACTCCAGGAAAAGGACATAAAGATCTCACGGAGCACATGGTTAGCAGGTCGTGTTTCTTGGGCAGGAAAAGTTCGCTTGTGATGAGAGACAATGGACCTGCTCAGTGTAGAGCTGGCTCTTGTTTCGGTACAGTAGAAACAAATTTCTCTAAAATTCGCAAACCAAAACTGTTCAAAGCGGCTTGCAGCAATTTGATGTCGTGCAGCTCTGGTGCCCCGATGACGTCAAACAAGGTCCATGAGCTGTCAACAGTGGATTTTGTTGCCCGTGCAGCAGATTCTCAGGGCCCACCCAACCACACTCTTGAAGGTGCGAGGTGTACAGTACTACAGTGCTTTCCTACTAACAAACTCAGGTTCCAGAAACCACTCAGGCGGAAATATGCTTCTATACACGCTCACATCTTTGTAAGCATTGTGTCCATAGTACTATGCAAAGGCACATTGATAGGGGTGAAATCATATCTCCAGTTTCCATCCCCATAAACTTCCAGTAACAGCTGGGCAAGCTCTGCGTCATGCTCAGTCAATCTTTCACGAGAGTTTACGCCACCATTTACGTCTACGCGCACGCTTGCATTGAACCATGACTGGCTACCCTCTGCCCAGTACTCTTCCTTGTTTGCCACCATGTATGCAGTCGATGGATAGAGGTGCTGTTTGGAAGGGAGAGCATGAAAGGAGGCCATTAAGGGCAGAATAAGAAAGTGTAAACCAACCAATGGATGAACAAGCTGGAAAAACTGGACAGTAACTACCGGCACATGTGTGGGAAACAGCAGGGTGGAAAACAGCACGGTTGCTAGTTAGAGTGGACGCAGACAAGTATCTGACAAATGACCAGCACGACATGGATTCGGCTGCTGCATGAACAGTGTGGGATTGCAAATGTGGAAAACTACCTTGGACCGCTGGAAGCACTGGGAGATTCGTTGCATCAGCGACTCATCGAACCCCACCTGTCATTCGGAGACAGAGAGTATGCATACATACATACATACATACGCACGTGCATTTATCCACACGCCCATGTCAAGAAACGACAATAGAGTGAGTCATGCACGAGAAACGACAGCAGCACCATGAGTACATATGGAGTCCAAATGCCAAATGCCTTCATACATGCGAACCTAGTGCTTCATGAATTCCCCACTCTCGTCTGAGAGTGCACGCTCTTCACTAGTGCACACCCCAATATGTCCCATGAAAGGAATCCACATGAAGGGAAAACTGCTGCCGCCGATAGAGTGGCATAATAAGCCCAACCTTGATCATCATGAGTGTTCATGTGTGACAATTCATGCATGCGTGCATGCAACGCATCATACATCCATATACAAACTCATGCATGCATGGTCGCATGGGAACACATGCATTCATGCATGCATGGCAGCATACCTCCATCACCATATGTGCAAACTCATGTATGCATGGTCACATGGGAGCACATGCATGCATGCATGGCACCATACCTCCATGACCGTGTGTGCAAACTCATGCATGCATGGTCACATGGAAACACATGCATGCATGGCAGCATACCTCCATCACCCTATGCGCAAACTCATGCATGCATGGTCACATGGGAGCACATGCATTCATGCATGGCACCATACCTCCATGACCGTGTGTGCAAACTCATGCATGCATGGTCACATGGAAACACATGCATGCATGGCAGCATACCTCCATCACTGTGTGTGCAAACTCATGCACCAGAATGCTCTCCTCCCGGTACCGATCACTCGGGCAGCGCAAAAGGTTCTCTTCGCCGACCGAGCACGTGGGGATGACCATGGTGCCTCCCAATCCACGCACCTATGCATGCACACATGCACACACAGGTGAGAATTTAGTGACGAAGAGTGTGATGACAAGGCTATGAAAGGCATGGCCGAATCATGCATCTGCACATCTAGGGTTGAGCAACAAACCGAACCTAGGTTCGGTTCGGCCAAACATGTTCGACCGTGGTCAAACTCAAACTTCAAAATTCAGGAAAAATGTTTTGGCCGAACAGTTCGGCCGAACTTTTTTGGTTCGACCTCCTACCCTCGAACTCGAACAGTTCGAGTTCGACCATTATTTCTTATTATACATGTGATGTAACTATAATGAAATGATCCCCCGAACCAAACTTAGTTTGAGCTCGGCCAAACCTTTAAGGTTCGGCCGAACTTTTACGGTTCGCCCTAGTACAAGCGAACCTCAAACCTAAAAAATCTCAAAAAAAGTTCGACCAGACCTGTTCGGGTCAGTTCGACTGGAATAAAAAGTTTGGAAAAGTTCGCCCAAACACGTTTGAGTTCGGTTGGTGCTCAACCCTATGCACATCCATCAATGCACACATCAAGTATGGCAAATATGTCGAGAATTCTTCAAACAGGCATGGAATCCATATGCACATGCTTGTGACTCCGTGTGCACTCCTGCGAATTCCCAAGAAAACCCTTCATACAGACAAGAATCCATGCACACATGCTTGTGACGCCGTGTGCTTTCTGCACAGCGAATTACCATTCAAACGTCTCGAGCCACCTAGACTATCCATCATATGTGCAATTCCTCTTGAAGCGCAAGTGATCCACTCCAATATATCCTCAGTCACCTGCTCTCCCTCCTTACCCATTGCTCTTCTCATCGCTCACTTCTCCCCCCCCTACCTCTCATCCATCGCACCCTCCCCCATCTCACCTCACAGTCCCAGTCCCACCCATCATCCGTGCGACAACCCCTCAGGTGAGAGTGCGTCAGTATATCCCTCATCACCTGCTCCCTCTCTCCTCACTCATTGCACTCATCCCACTCTTTCCCCCACTTCTCATCTCACCTCACAGTCCCAGTCCCTGCCATCATCCGTGTGACTCCCCCTCAGGTGAGAGTGCGTCAGTATATCCCTCGTCACCTGCTCCCTCTCTCCTCACTCACTGCATTCATCCCACTCTTTCCCCCACTTCTCATCTCACCTCACAGTCCCAGTCCCTGCCATCGTCCGTGTGACTCCCCTTCAGATGCAAGTGTGCTCCAGTATATCCCTCGTCACCTGCTCTCTCTCTCTCTCCTTACACGTTGGTCCTCTCATCCCTTTCCCTCCGCCACCTCGCATCCCCCCCCATCTCACCTCACAGTCCCAGTCCCGCCCATCGTCCGTGCGAGTCCCCCTCAGGTGCGAATGCTCCAGTATGTCCGTTGTCACCTGCTCTCGACCAATCACCGCCACCTTGCACCAGTTGTCCTGTAACCTGGTTACCACATCAGGCGGGGTGAGCTGATGGGCAGGGCAGGGGAGAGACGGAGATGGAGGGGAGGGAAGGCAGTACAGAAGCAGCAGGACAGACGGGCATTAGGGGTATCACCTCTGCCCTGCCTATCACCTCTGCTGCATGCATTGGCCGGGGTGTGCACATGATCAGGCAGCATGGGGGTGTGCACATGATCAGGCAGCATGGGGGTGTGCACATGATCAGGCAGCATGGGGGTGTGCACATGATCAGGCAGCATGGGGGTGTGCACATGATCAGGCAGCATGGGGGTGTGCACATGATCAGGCAGCATGGGGGTGTGCACATGATCAGGCAGCATGGGGGTGTGCACATGATCAGGCAGCATGCACCGTTAACCACGTGCCTCACCTCCAGCATGTGTTCGACGATGTCAGCAGCAGCACAGAGAGCAGGCATGCACACACGCCCATGTGCCACCACCGGCACGCCCACTGCCGTGCCCACCACCTGCCTGTAACACGACGGTACCCGCACATCTCCCTCTGCCTCGTCCTCCACTACCACTTGCTTAACACATGCAGCTGCATTACCAGCAGCAGCAGCAGCAGCAGCAGCAGCAGCATGATCGACAGCAGCACCAAGCAGCATGTGCTGCTGGGATGGGCGTGGGCGGATGAGGTACCTCTGTCGACGGCCAACCGAGGAACATAGGGCGACCTGAATGGGGAACATGCATTGGAGCAACAAGCAGGCGGGTGTCTGTCACAACTCCGTTTGAAATACTTTGAACGGAAGACCTGAATGGGAGACTGCGAATGGAAGATTATGATGAAGAGATTCATATGGGACGCCGACAGTTTCAATCAGTGAATGCTACACACGCTTTCAACCTGTGCTACAGATATCCAAAGTTGTGTTACCATGCCCCCCTTCGTTACAGAGTAACCGGATGCTACACCCACCTTCACTCTATGCGACAGCTTCTTAGTGGCAGCATTGCACGTTCCCCTCCAAGGTAGCCTGAGTGTTGCAGCAGGCGGGCAGGAGGGTGAAGTAGCAGTGCTCCAAATTTACGATTACCCCCTCAATTACGGGGTTATTGAATGGTACACCCACCTTCACTCTATGGGGCAGCTTCTGAGCGGCAGCACCACGCACGAGCCACACGTTGAGTGCCACGCTCACCAATACCCCATGTATTAAAAGGGGTTAATGATGCTACACCCACCTCCACTCTATGCAACAGCTTCTGAGAGGCAGCATCATGCACGAGCCACACGTTGAGTGCCACGCTCACCAATACCCCATGTATTAAAAGGGGTTAATGATGCTACACCCACCTTCACTCTATGCAACAGCTTCTGAGTGGCAGCATCACGCACGAGCCATACGTTCCCCTCAAAGGTAGCCTGAGTGTTGCAGCAGGCGGGCAGGAGGCCGAAATAGCAGTGCTCCTCGCCTGTGTGCGACAGCCACAGCACGTCCACTCTTGCTTCAGTCTGTGGGTTGGGGTTAGGAGGCATGGTGTCGGGTTGGGAACGGTGAAGGGAGAAGTGGAGAGGAGGGTTGGAGCAGGCAGGCAAGGGAGGGAGGGCGAAGCAGCAGTGCTCCTCGCCTGTATGGGACAGCCACAGCACGTCCACTGCATCTTGCGTTTGTGGGATGGGGTTTGATAAGACGTAGTGAGGTTGAGAACGGTGAAGGGAGCAGGCAGGCAGGAGGGCGAAGCAGCAGTGCTCCTCGCCTGTGTGCGACAGCCACAGCACGTCCACTGTCCCTTGCGTCTGTGGGATGGGGTCGGATGTGATGTGGTGGGATTGCGAATGGTGAAGGAAGAAGCGGAGATGATGGTTGCAGCAGGCAGGCAGGGGGGAGTGCGAAGTAGCAGTGCTCCTCCCTCCGCACGTCCACTGCTACATGCCCTTGTGGGATGGGATGGGGTCGGATGTGATGTTCCTATTGAGAATTCTCAAAAGTAACACCAATACATGTGGTGGGATTGGTCTCCCAACCAGGCAGGCAGTGAGCGCTTCTGACTTCCGAAGTAATGAGGACCAGAATTCTCAGGGAAGCAGCAGATGAGGAAAGTCATCAGCGTAAAAGGCCGGACGAAAAGAATCCAATAATGGGACGTGATGACTGACCTGGTTCTCGAATCTCAGATACACCGGAGGCTGCTCCTCCTCTCCCTCCTCCCTAACCTCCTCTCCCTCCTCCCTAACCTCCTTCTCCACTTCCCCCCTGACCTCCTTCGCTCCCTCCTCCCTCGCCTCCTCGTCTCCCTCCCCCCCGACTTCCCCCTCCGCTACCCTCACGGTCCCCTCCTCCTCGTCCCCGCCAGCTTGCTTGCCCGCCGCTCCTCCTAATCTCCTCGCGATTTGATTCGACCTACGAGTAGCAACTCCCCCTAACCGCCTCGCCGCACCATGATTTTCATTCGCCGTCCAATGCCAAGGCAAGCAGCGGCATAGGGATCCGATGACACGTGGCAGCAGAGAACGCGCATAAGATCCACCCCTGAGGTCCCCGTTATTACCGTCCTCATCGCTATCGCTATCGTGAAGCGCGTAGTTTGCGTCAGCGAGACGGACGCTGACGTCCTCAGCGGCTTCTAGAGAGGATACGGGAAAACACGACGCCAGAAGACGCTCTGGGAGGGTGCGTTCGGACAAGGGGCGTTCAGAACGAAAGCGCTCCGGGTTTTGAAGCAGCATCGGACGAATGGCGAAATCAAGACCGCGGCGCGACGACGCAACACGTGGCTCATTGTCGTCGTCATTATAGGACCCCATGATGGGAACGATTGCGGTCCTCGATAGTACCGTCGAAAGGTAATCAATTACCCCTACCAGGCGCCATAGACGGCGTTGTTACCAAACCCCAGGGCCTCGGTTCTCAGCTTTTGCTGAGAATCTGATGTGACCGTTGACTGCCTGCTAGTACGGTGAGTGCACAATCACAAAAAACCGTACCTCCAGATCCCAGGAAGGATTTCCGATCACCGTATTTTCGACGGTTGCGTGTCACATTCATTTTAAGTTTCAATATACGTGACAAATTTATTCCCAGCTCGTCAGAACAGTGGTGTGGTGTGGTTCGAGATGTGGTGCTACTCTTTGTTTCAAGCCTAATACGCCCTTGAAAACACGCCCCGAGTTTTCCTAGTTTCCCCACCGATCTCTCTCTCTCCACTTTGCATGTCAGTTTCCCCCTCAGGCCGCGGCACACAAGGTTACTTCATTGCGCTTCAGTCCGATGCTTTACGCTTCAGAACGGTCTTCTTTACCCTAACGGCTGGATTACAGGCCTGATCACCCTACATTGCCTGCCGTGCTAATCTGAGAGGTGGAGGAGCAGCAAGTACGTTTTCTAGGAGTTTCTGCTACTGCACTCGGGGTTTGGACGCGTGTTGAGGAGTTTCTGTTTAGGTTTACACCGCGACGCGACGATTTCTCGTCGTCCCAAAGAATGGCCTGCACGTGCCACTTATAGTCGCGCTGCTTCATTAAGGCCCTTGTTAGCCGCAGGATTCTTCTGCTGCATTCTTTTCTTTCTTGCCTTGATAAACCAGTGTCGCCTTTTCCTTGGGAGCAGACTGGTCGGAGGTCGTTTCAATTATAAGACTAAGCAGTTATTCTGCGAATCAAGCATTACTGTTTGCGTCGCTTCTTAAGCAGCCAGAGACGTTTTTCTGGTAACCAGTAACCAGTTTTAGGTTTCCTAATAGGTCTTACATCACCTCGGCCGTATGTTTCCCAGATCGCTGTCAATTGAGGGTTTGAGATAGCAATTGAATACCGACTGGCGAATATGGCGTCTTTCGAAGAAGCGAAGGAGATGCAGAGCAGCACGAGAGCCGGCGAGGTTCAGGCGTTCGTCGGATCGATCGTTGTCATCGTTTCTTGCTGTGAGTGAACCATCCGTCGTTTCCTGAGTGAATCATCTGTCGTTTCCGTCACCCCTCTCTGAGCGAACTCAAGAGTCATTCCTTCATCTGGGTCGACCCTTGAGCCAAATTATGTTTATTTCTTCCCAAACCCACCTCTCGCGACTCTCTCAGCAGCCATCTCGTCACAATCAGATGCCCCTGAGCTGACTCTCACAGACTTTTACATCGTGTGGGTGTACGTTTATGTTCCTCTGGGGCGTCTGTCCGTTCGTGACAGCGTTCTTCTCCCGGTGTTGGAGGCCTCTGAAGCAAACTTTGTTTCCATCACCCCTGCATGCATGCATGTGTGCGTGCGTGCGTGCGTGCGTGCGTGCAGGTCTTTACCTCGTGTGGGCGTATGTTCCAAACAGCGTTCTTCTCTCCATCGGCCTGTCATACTATCCCTCAAAGTAAGTGCTTTCTGTTGTACCGTGCTTTGTTACTTGTCCTCTCCAGCTAACTCTTGTAGTCGATCGTGTGTTCTGCCTGACTTCGTTTTCGCTAATCCTGTGTTTCTGTTAGATTCCTTCCCTCTTTTCCTCTGCGAAATCAAACTCCATCAGTGCTGCAGTCCTAACATTATGCATGCTGCTTTCTCACTGTTTACTTCTCCTCGCCCGCATCCCGCCCGCATCCTTATCTCCTGCTCTCCCTCCCTCTCTTTCTCCATCTCGTCTCTTCTTCTTCCCCACTTCCCCCCCCACCCCTCCCCACCCCACTCCATACCCCCCCACTCCATCCCTAGCTCCCCCGTATACCCCTTCCCCTCCCACCCACACTTATATTATTCTGCACGCGACTGCAGGCACTGGGCGTCTGTCATCCCAGCGTTCCTTATAGTCACAGTCGTCTGCGCCCTCCTGCTCTACTCGGGTGTCAACCGCCTTTCCGTGCAGCCTGCCTCTTCCAAATTCTCCATCCATGGTATCCTATATGGTTCCCCATCCTCCACCTGCCCTCCACTTGCTCACCCTCCACTTGCTCACCCTCCACTTGCTCACCCTACGCTTCTGTACCCCTCACTCACAACACCTCCTTTTAGAAGTTAATAAACTTTGCAGGCACCATTTCCTTAGGTAAACATTTCACATGTGCATACAGTGCTGTTACTGTGCTGTCTGCCTTTTGTTTTCTGTGCTTCGTTCCGTGTTCCGCCCTCAGCTCTTCTCTAGTTTCTTGCTATATTTGCTGTTCCCCAACTGTACTCTGTCAACCCCACACCCCCCTAAACCACCTGACCCTTCTCCCTCCCCTCCCCTTCCCCCGTAACTGCCCCATGGTCTCCCTACCCCATCAGACAACTTTGCACGGATGCAGCCCCCCATGACCCACACCACCTTCCACCCCCCTTCACATCCACTCCACCAACCCTCCCATAGTAACCCATCACCACCTCCGTCATCCTTGGACCCACCGTCCACAGTATCTGCTCGCAATGGTTTAAGCGGGTATAAGAGTCATGAGGAGGGGGTGCTGCGGCAGTCTGGCTCCACTAGATATCATGGGATGAGACTATACCGCTCGCCTAGTGAGCAGGACGCCATGCTGCTGAGTCGAAGAGCCCCGATTCCTCCCATTCATAACTTGCCAATTACCCTGGTTAATGATATTCTGTATGGCTGATTTTTGTACATTGTCAAGCTAAAACTCTTGGCGTGAAATGAGACTACGGTATGTAGCAGTGTAGCTCACCTTCTCACAATACCGCAAGTTGGCTTGCTATATTTTGTGCAGTGATGCTAGATGCTGTACTTTGTCTGCAGAGAGAGTCAAGTCAAGGTAGTGTGGAACATGTTTCTAATTTAATAAGCTCAGCCAGCTACCCAGAAAGGCAAAACATACCGTTAGAGTGGATTCTATCCAGCCATTCTACAGAACCAAGGGCTCAATTTGCAAACACCAGCAATCTTTGCCTCTAACTTGCCGTACATGCTTCCTTAGCGTACTGATAGAATCACATGCACAAACATGCGAACTTCTGAGCATACAATACCACTTCGTTCCTTATTTCATGTGGGGCAGCCTGAGGTTCAGGCTGTGATTTTTGAACATGTAACGTGAATTGAGAAATAATCAATACATACTAGGAGCACTAAGTACAAAAAGGGGGAAAGAAGGAACCGTTACAATCCTAAGCGAACTTGTTAGCAGGCACGGACTTGATGGCGGTGATTTGGTTGATCTCCGTGTGCAGAATGTGCTTCTCGCCGCGAATCACGGCGTACATGGCATTAGGCGCGATGTAGTCGCAGGTGCGCTCGATGCGGAAGGGCTCCCCGGGGACCTGTGGGAGCACGCAAGGCAAAAGGTGGAGGAAACCAAGGTCGAGAATATTGAGATGCATGTCCAGTACTGATAAAGGCTTAAAGAATTGCAACATTAACTCTCATCAGGAGGACTGGAAGAGTAAATTAATCACGACAGGGTGAGGAGGATGAAAGAGTGATAAGGACGAGAAAGGATAGCACACTGTGTCGTAAACAACATTTAGTGAAGCATGAAATGGAAGCACCCACCTGGGCACCGGAGTGAATTTGCACGCCAGTGATGACAGCATAGTCAGCAGTAGCAGGGTCCACGGTGAGCGAGATGAGATGCTCCAAGTCGTCAGTGATCGCCTGCAGGGCAGCCTTGGTCACCTGCAGGGAGGAGAAAGAGGGATTGAGGGACCGGATGAGAGATGAGCAAAATGAAGAAAGCAGAATTCGAGTTGAACGGAAATTGTTGTGAAATTTTCGTATTGGGAAAGGGCTGACACCCATTACTGCCCATTCAAGTCGCGCCGGCCACTACCGCATGCGCTGTACTCCTTCTGCCTTACCAATTTCGTAAGAACCGTCGCTCATAAAAAAAGAAGGCAGGAATTGTAGCCTGCACTGCAACTCCACATGCAACTCCACATGCAACTCCACATGCAACTCCACATGCAACTCCACATGCAACTCCACATGCAACTCCACATGCAACTCCACATGCAACTCCACATGCAACTCCACATGCAACTCCACATGCAACTCCACATGCAACTCCACATGCAACTCCACATGCAACTCCACATGCAACTCCACATGCAACTCCACATGCAACTCCACATGCAACTCCACATGCAACTCCACATGCAACTCCACATGCAACTCCACATGCAACTCCACATGCAACTCCACATGCAACTCCACATGCAACTCCACATGCAACTCCACATGCAACTCCACATGCAACTCCACATGCAACTCCACATGCAACTCCACATGCAACTCCACATGCAACTCCACATGCAACTCCACATGCAACTCCACATGCAACTCCACATGCAACTCCACATGCAACTCCACATGCAACTCCACATGCAACTCCACATGCAACTCCACATGCAACTCCACATGCAACTCCACATGCAATCCACATGCAACTCCACATGCAACTCCACATGCAACTCCACATGCAACTCCACATGCAACTCCAATGCAACTCCACATGCAACTCCACATGCAACTCCACATGCAACTCCACATGCAACTCCACATTGCAAACTCCAGCATGCAACTCCAAAACATGCAACGCCACATGCAACTCCACATGCAACTCCACATGCAACTCCACATGCAACTCCACATGCAACTCCACATGCAACTCCACATGCAACTCCACATGCAACTCCACATGCAACTCCACCATGCAACTCCACATGGCAACTCCACATGCAAACTCCACATGCAACTCCACATGCAACTCCACATGCAAACTCACATGCAACTCCACATGCAACTCCACATGCAACTCCACATG